AAGAGAAATGGAAAGGACATTCAGCACAGCCGATCTTTTACCATCACCAGTTTTCCCCCAATATCAACACTCTGACGAACAGAGGTTAATGTGGGACAAGTGCGGACACATTGCAAAGAGACAGTATCTTTCACACCACTAACAAAAACACAGCCGAGGGTGCATCATCTGTTGTCGGGTATCTTCACATCATTTCCAACTTATGGAAACCTTAAGGTGAACCTATCAGGGCACATTTCTTCAGAGGGGGTTTGCCCTTGCTATCCTCTGTGGCTGAGAGAGTGCGACTTGCCCAAGGTCGCCCAGTGGGTTTCTTTGGCTGAGCCAGGATTTGAACCCTGGTCTCCCAGTGTCCTAGTCCAATGCTCAAACCATTACACCACGCTGGCCCTCGAGGGTGCATCTACTCTGGAGAAATAATGAAGTTTGACCCCACTTTAATTGCCACGGCTCCAGCCTACGGAAATCCTGGGATTTGTAGTTTGGTGATGCACCAGTGCTCTTTGGCACAGAAGGCTCAAGACTTTGCAAAACGACAGATCCCAGGATTCCATAGGATGGCGCTACAGCACTTAAAAGTGGTATCGAACTGCATTATTTCCACCAAGCGCGTGGAATCGTTCCTTACTGGAGGTCTGTCTGTGGGGCCGCTCTGCATCTCCCTTTGCAAAACGAGGGGCTTCCTTTCATACCCACCCACCCACCTGACTTTTCTCCCACAATTTCCAACACAAGCATCACCCCACAACCACATCTTCTGCCTTCTTTGCAGCACACGCAAACCAGGGTGCAAGGAAGGGATGGTGCAGATGGGAGCAAGCCTGCCATGCCCTGAGCATTGTCTCCGAACATCTCTCTGTCTTGCTTTTCCCCATCCTTCTCTGGGATTGGAGTCTGTCTTGGGAACTTGGGCCGCCGGTTGTTTTTGATGAATTGAATTGGGGTGTAGGCAGGAAGCCCCTCCTGAGAAGGAAGGTCTCCACCCTGGAGCAGAAATTTCCTCTCCGGAGGTATTTTTAGTGGAACACAAAGCAAGGGGAAAGGAAAAGGAGGTCGGAGCAAGATTAGGATCAGGATGGGTCGGGCCCCTGGCTTTTGTTCCTAGGGACACCAAGGCCTTTGGGTTTCTGGACCAAAGGAGCTTCGGATTCCCAGCAGAAAGGGTGGGTGCCAAAATGCATGGTAGGCATCTCTGCAAGATTTGGAGATGGGAGGGGGACTTTTCCACTGGCAAGAGTCAGAGCTCTGGAAGCAAAAGCCAAACGCTTTTTTAAAACCATGTTGCTAGACCTCATGTTTATGGTGCGACTTCCCAAAGCAAAGCCAAACTGCATTTATTCCTACAGTGTAGATGCACCTTCAGTTGTCTAAAGCCCAATTCAGATGGTGAAAAATAATCCAGGATGAATCTTGTTGAATCTCCATTGCTCATATGCATTTTGAATGCTTCCAATTAAGTGTCGGTAGGGCTGCCAAAAAAAACCACTTAATCTGGGACAATCCCTAAGTTTTTTAAAAAAGATCTGCATCCTCAGCAGTGTGAACAACTAATATGGATAGACTCAGGATAAAACTCTCCATGCCTTGAATGTGTTTCGAATACATTGCATTGTCAATGCCATTTTTATTAGAGTGCTGGCACAGGTGTGCAACAGACCTTGCAGAAACCATGTTTGCAAGAGCGTGGGGATCTTGGAGGTCTCTCTTTCAGAGGGTCACCATAACCTGGAATCAACTTGGAGGCAAATAACAACAAACCAAGCCAATTCTGTGTGCTCTGCCTCCTCCTTCTCAGGCCCTGTTCCTTCCCAAGATAGGATTTCCAGGAAATCTCCTTTCTCTGTTTGCATTTGCAACGGGCAATGGGTCACAATCCCCATTCCATCCCTTTTCCCTCCAGCAAAGCTTGCAACTGGGCTAACTGTGCCAATAATTGCAGACTTACCAAGCCACGACAACGGCTGTCATTTGAGTTTCCTAAAAATGACCCGGTGGTGACATTTTCCTGCAGAAGTGCTATGTTTGTGTGTGTGTTTTCAAACCCAACCTGGACCAAGAACAGGCCAAAGAAAAGCGGAAACAAACTTGTAAAAGTATCGAGAGAACATATTGACGTTCTCATGGCCTGGATTTTTATCTGTCTTTCTGGCCTGGGAAATCCTTACCAGATACAAAAAGCTGTGCATAACATACTTCAGGGTTGTTAACCGAAATGTTTCTGAGTGCATCATTGTCTCCCTTTTTTAAAAACCAATTAACGGAGGAAGGTTTGTTTATGTGTGTATATATACACACATGCACACATATATACACGTCCTGCCCTCTATCTATCCAAGGATTTCAGGGTAGTGTTCCATAAAATCAATTTAAAGGCTAAATTCATCGTTTAAAATGGCACAATTTCAAACCAGTTAAAACCATTTAATCTTGACCATAGCAATTGGGCAAATTTGATGAAATCTACTGGACACTTAAAGGCTTTTGTAAAGAAACAGAATGCCTGCAAACCTCAAAGACTGGTTTCATGGGCTTTATTTCCATAAGAAGAGACACAGATTCATTAGACTTTGCCTATCTTCTCTTGTCTCCAGACTCCCTAGATCACTCCCTTTTTGTCCAAAAACTAAAAAGGTGTATACATTAGAAAGTGGTATAATTTCTACTCCTAGAAGCCTCCAGGAAAGGCAATTCACCTTTTAAATAAATCATGGGCCAAAAAAATATGCTATTTTTCCAAACCAGAACAAAACTCACAACTACTTCTATATGCAAAGGGACACTGTGCATCTGAGGAAGTCAGGTCAAATCTATAAAAGCTCATGCTACCAGCTTTTAAACATGCTGCATCTGCACTGCAGAAATAATCCAGTTTGACACCACTGTAACTGCAATGCCTCAATGCTATGGACTTCTAGGCATGGTCATTTTCTGAGACATCTATCCTTCTCTGTCAGAGTGCTCTGGTGCCACAACAAACTACAAAACCCCATATTCCATAGGATGGAGCCATGGCAGTTAAAGTGTTGTCAACCTGGATTACCTCTGCAGCATTCGTCTCAAAGGGGCTACAAGATCCCTTTGCATGCTGATTTTCCAGACTGACACGGCTAGGTCTTATTTCAAAATACAGCCACTTCTGTACTCCAGTGTTTTTGCTATTTTTGGCAGCCTGTGGTGCTCTCGAGGGTCCTGGAGGCAAAAATAAAATGCCGCCTGGACTCACAACAGTTGCCCAGCCCTATTCCTTATGATCCTTCCTTCTGGCAGATCATGCGGTGGGAATTAACCGAGCTCAGAGTTCAATCTTGTGTGTGTGTATGTGTATGTGTGTGTGTGTGTTTGGAGGACCTAGGCTTGGCACAACCCCAGGCCTCCTGACCTGGTTTGCCACGAAGGACCACTCCTTTGCCCACTCTCCCTTCTTCCGACATTATGGGAGTATCTCCCACCTTCCCCAAACTCCACCTGAGCTTCAGAACAACTTCAGTCCAAGCCTTCATGCATGCATCCAACACATCCTCCGCACTCCCTGCCATCATTCAGTCAGTCGATGCACGATTTTTTGGCAACCCATTTTGGCACCAGGCTGGACCCTTTGAAGCCCCCAGCCCAGCAAAAAAACAACAAAAAAACACAATCTTGTGTTTGCAAAGACAAGCCCAGAGCATTTTATTCCTTACATCATTCCTTCCTTTCAGTGACTTCCAAAATTATTATTTTTTCTGGCTGGAGTGTTTTGAGAGCTTTTATGCTCTTACCTGCACCAAAAAAAGGGAACTGTTCCAGTCTCTGGACAAAAGAGGTATCAAGTGCCAAGCCTACGGAAAGCCAGAGATGTAGCCACACTTCACCACTACAGCAGTTTGATTCCGCTTTAACTGCTATGGCTCCACTCTTTCCTATGCAATTCTGGAATTTTTGTTTTCATGACAGTTCTCTGCTTGGGTGAACGTTTGGTTCAAGGGGGTGTGCTAGAAAATCCCAAGCTTCTCCTCCCCAAAGTAGAAATCCCAGGATTCCAGAGCCAAGGCTGAACAAGCGGTGTCAAAGTGGGATAGCAATGCAATGCGGACACACCTCAGAATGAGAAGAGTGAATCCGCAAGGCCAACTCTCTGCTAGAAACAGGAAGATCCAAGAGAAACAGACAAGAAAATACCAGCCGCCGGACCCTTTCCGGATGCCCCAAACCCACCTGGCAAGTCAGCCTTTCCTTCCGCGAGCCGGAAAAACGGTGGCACATAAATAAAAATAAAGAAGTGAACTACCTTCCTCCCGCTTTCTGAACTCGAGCTGAGCTTGTGCCTCTTGAGGTTCCTGCTGCTGAGCTCCGCTTGGGGTTTCCAGACCTCTCCGTTGTCGCTGGCGGGCGGCTTGAGCAGGGAGACCTCTCCGTCCACCACGATGCCAGTGCGGGCCATCTCTTCGGTGCAGGTCAGCTGGTGGCTCCGGAGGTACTCATCCGTCTCTTTGTCCACCACCAATAAACACGTCTCGCTTTCGATGGCTTTGATGCGCTGCACCACCTGTCAAGGGGAGACGAAGAAAGGACAGAAAGGGAAAAGAGACCATGAAGGTAGATTTCTAAAAGAGCCAAGCTACAAGATGTTTGCTGGGTGCCAACCAGGTGGCACCAACTTTGTTGTTGCATGCCTTCAAGTCCGTATGGAGAACCTATCCTGGGGTTTTCTTGGCATGTTCCTTCCAAGGGGGTTTGCTATTGCCATCCTCTGTGGCTGAGAGTTTGTGGCTTGCCAGTGGTTTTGAGCCAGGATTCAAACCCTGGTCTTTGCTCTTGGCCACCTATATCATTGACCATATCTTTGCTGTCCATCCATTCCTAACGTGAACCTGGAAAGCAATTTCATAATATGCAGCAAGAATTTTTTTGGGGGAAATTACCTTTTTGGGGACTGCAACTCCCTGCATCCAGTGGCCATGCTGGATTCTGGAGGTTGGAGTTCCAGAACAGAAATTAGCAATGCTAAGCTGTGGCCAAGATCCAGCATGGGGTAATGGTTCGAGTGTTGGACTGTGACTCTAGAGACCAGGGTTCGATTCCCAGCTCAGCCATGAAAACTCACTGGGTGACCTTGGACAAGTCACACTCTCTCAGCCTCCTCAGGGAAAGGCAATGGCAAACCTCTTCTGAACAAAACTTGCCAAGAAAACCCCATGATAGGGTTGTCTTAGGGTCACCATTGGTCGAAAACGACTTGAAGACACCCAACAACAACATCTGGATTCCAGCTGTTGGGTTGGAAAGATAAGCCTAGTTCAGCTGGGACACCTCATTTCCAGCATGCTGGGTGGCTCAGTTGGCATTGAATTTTAATTTTAATTTTCCTGCGTGTGCTTTTTTAAAACAGTCATTGAAACTGACGTTATCTTCTTCTCTGCTTTTCAAATAAGATCGGTTCAATCACTGTAATTAGTAATTACGGTTTCATTGTGGATTGTTTTGATCATTGTTTTTTTTCAATTGACAGCCACCCTGAGATAAGCGTTCCTACTTAAGGGTGGAGTATACCTCTTTTGAAAAGTTTTAAAAATAAATATTCTTGTTGGGAACATTTGAACGGGACTTCCTTTGTTTTGGTATCACACATATGTATGGGCAACATAGACCTTCATAACTCTGCCTTCCCTTTTCTCTTATTTTGACAGGTCTTTTTAAAATTTATATACAGATAGGCATAAATACATACATAGTCATATTCATGAAACATATTCATGAATAGCTACCAGGTTTAGCTAAATATGACCCACTTGGCACCATGATAAACATTGGTTGCGTTAATGGAGGTGGTGAATTTTGCTCTTGTTTTTAAGATTGAAAAGATATTGCTGTTTTGTGGATTTTGGATGATACTGTACATTTCAATATGCCAGAAGAGCATTAATGCCTTTGCCTGATGAAGAAGCCAGTGGAGCTTGGAAAGCTTGCACCATGCAATTGGTGCATGTTGGATGCACTAAATGCACCATAAAGGTATTGCTGTTTTGTGGATTTTGGATATGTGAATGCCTGAATAGCCATTCCTTAGCACCTTTGCCTGATGAAGAAGCCAATGGAGCTTGGAAAGCTTGCACCATGTATTTGGTGCACTGTGGATGCACTAGTTGGTGCGTTGTGGGTGCACTAAATGCACCACAAGGGTACCACTGTTTTGAGGATTTGGGATGCTATTGTACTTTGCTGTATGGCCAATACAGCTACTCCAGATATGTTTCCAGGCCTGATGGATGAGCCTGGGGGCTTCTGGGCTTTCTCTTCTCTTTCTTTCTCATCCTGGAGGCAAGCGGCCAGCGGTGTCCTCATCCGTGGCGTCTTGCCGCAAGAGCGACAGATCAAGCACCAGAACGCCACCTGCTCCCTGTCAGATCCACTTTGCAGCTCCGTCACAGGCTGGCCCAAATTTTTCCACTCCACGAGAAGGCTACGCTCCACCAGAGAACTCCACCAGTGTGGAATTACTTTGGGAAGGGGGTCACTACATCTCCCAGCATCCCCCAGCTAGCATGGCCACTAGTCTGGTTTGGATATACTTGCACAGAACCTAGAAAAGATGCTTTCATGGAGAATGCTCCAAACAGCACGGGCGTTCTTCAGTCTTGATTTAAATATGAACTTTACCAATGTTTCTTTTGAGGACTACAGTTCCCAGAATCCCTGAGCATGTCTGCTGTCTCATCTGGTCAAAGACACAGATCTTGGGAAATAAAATAAAAATACATTATTCTTTTTATCTAAGAGAATACCTCTCTAGGAATATCCCGGTCCTCCAAAGCAACTCGATGGTCAACAAAGCTGATCATATAATCCTGCTGGAGGACCTATAAATGCCTAGAGTAGCGTTTCCTCTAGGAACGTCTAGGTTCTCCCGTGCAACTCTATGGTCAACTTCCATCTGCGTTGCGCTGGAGGACCAAGAGATTCCTCGAGAGAACATATTAGTCAAAACCGCAAATAACCAAATCTGCAAAAGTCAAAGCCGCAAATGTGGAGGGATTACTGTAATATCCACAAACTTTAAAACCGCACAACTGGGGTGGTCTGAGGGCTTCCATGTCAGTGGGAGAATGAATCCGCTCCAGGTTTTGGATGACCTTTATGTCGCTCTGAACGGATGCATGCTGAGGTTCAGCACTTTGGATAGTTCCTTTTCAAGTTTGGGATAAAGCCTGCCAAGGATTAACCACCAAAGGCTGTTGAGCCTTTAAAAAATGAAGTTACACACACAGAAGTGGGGACAGTCTTATTATTGTCAGCCTGGAAGCCTTTTTCATCTTAAAAGTGGAACAACCCTCCTGCAAAAGCTTTAAAATTATGTAAAGCTGGCCCTTCTTAACCACCGATTCAACCCTCCACGGCTTGAAAATATTTTATAAAAAAATATAAATTCAAGCCTGCTTTCTAACCTGCATGATCCAGGCATTTTGGACCATAACTCAAATCAATGCTATTATTTTAATACTGTGAGAATTTAATTCTGCTTTAATGTAACCACTCTTCTATGTTTTTAATTGTACAGTTGGCCCTCCACATTTGCAGCTTTGACTTTTGCGGCTTTGTTTGCAGATTTGATTAATATGTTCTTTCTAGGAATCTCTCAGTTCTCCTGCGCAACTCTGCCGGACGCTGACCATAGAGTTGTGCTGGAGAACCCGTTCCTAGAGGAAACACTTCTCTAGGCATTTGTAGGTCCTCCAGCATGGGTCTATGGTCAAATTCTGGCAGATGTTGACCACAGAGTTGCATTGGAGGATCTGGAGATCCCTAGAGAGATGTTCTCTTTGGTAAGAATAATAGTGCTTTTTTTAAAATTTGTGGTTTTTCCACATTCGCAGGGGACCTTAAATAATAATAATAATAATAATAATAATAATAATAATAATATGTATTTATATCCCACCCCTCTGCAGAGCAACCTTCACCTTGAACCCCAGCAAATGTGGAGGGACCACTGTATTGTTCTTTTGATACTGTGAGCCGCTCTGGGTCCCAGTTCTGGGAAAAGAGCAGGATACAAATAAATACTCATCATCATCATCATCATCATCATTATCCTGCTAGCCATGTCTCTTGTGGCTGATGGGTGTTATAGTCTCCCAGCACCTAGAGAAAGGATGCCCAGGTTGGGAGAGACTGGGGGAAGGTGGGAAATTTTGGGATAGGTGCAGGTGAAGGAGGAAAAAGAAGGGCACAGGTGAGGTTGCCCACCCAATGGTAAGGAGTAAGATGTCAGAAGCGGGCAAAGAATGGCACATAAGGCCAGGAAGGGTGTTGCATTCCACCCAGAAGATTAGGGAAGCCTGCCTCTTAATCCCCTGAAACCCCTGCTGCCTATCAGTTTTAGTGGCTCACCCTGGATCCTCAGCCATCCTTTTCCTCTGAGTCATTCCTTCCCTCTCCTGTTTACCTTCTTTCTACAGAAGGGATATATAAATCCTCACTTATTTCATCCTTGCATGCAATAATCCCAACTATTCTCCTGCCCCTCAGGTTGCATACGAATCCAAAAGTTTGTGTGCCACTTTGTACAGGGCAATAGAACATTTTTGTGTGAGAGAAAACTTCCCCCAAGAGAGAGTGACCTGAACCACATACTTTTGCAAAGTTATTGCCCTGTGATCTCTAAATGGGAAGTTTGCAAGAGGGGAGACAACAGGATTTGGATGCAAAAAATCTTCCAACAGCAATGGCAAACCCCTCTGAAGAAACATGCCAAGAATGATAGGGTCACCCTAATTTGGAAATGATTTAAAGGCACAGACACACATTCAACAACACTTCTTTGTGTGGCACCCTGGAGGTGCAGCATCCTCCCCTTGGAGGCCCGACGGGCGCCAGCTTTGCTCTTCTTCACAAAAAGTTCTGAGAACCCTAATTGGTTTTACTACAATCCTTGCATCTCTATTGTTTCAAATCCCCCTTTTTAAACTTGTTAAATGGTTCAATACTTTTTTTAAAAAAACCTTTACAATCGTCCAGAGCATTCATGCTGTTCTGAACTGCCAGACCGGTTTTTATGGTACACCACCCTGAGATCTCCGGAGACAGGGCAGGATATAAATATTTTAATAAGTAAATAATAAATGAATAAATAACCCACACAGGAGCCCAGCCATGCAGTTGCACATGCTTGGAAGGTGCGTAACCCGTTTTGTCAGTGCTTTCAAGATCCCACTTGATCCCCTGGGACTGCAGAGACAGATACACAAAGCATTATTCCCCTTTGCACATGGGGACCACAAGCAAGTAAACACCGGCAGGAAGGCCACTTGGCTTTATAGCATCAGCATTGAGCTGGAAATGACAGCCTCTGCCTGCAAGACGGCAGTTTTGCAAATCTCAGCAGAAATGGCTCTTGCTCCCTCCTCAATATTGCATCCCTTCCAATACTTAAAACAGGGCTGCTATCATCATATCATCCCTTAACCTTCTCTTCTTTGGGCCAAACAGACCCAGCATCTCCCCAAGTCTCTCCTCCTAGGGCTTCATGGTTTCCAGACCCTTCACCATTTGGGTTGCCCTTCTTTGGACATGCTCCAGCTTCTCAACCTCCTTCTTGAATTTTGGGGCCCAGACCCGGACCCAGGGTCCTCCCAGGGAAGGAGGCCTGACCAAAGCAGAAGACGAGAGTGGCCCTATGGCTTCCCTTGATCTAGATCAGGGGTAGGCAACCTTTTTTCCCCTTTAAGGGCCAAGGAGGGACTTCAGCTCCCAGAAGCCTCAGCCATCTTGGACTATAACAGTCCCATGTTGGCCAAGAGCTCCAGGGATTTTGGGAGCTGAAGTCCCTTGGCCCTTAAAGGGGAAAAAAGGTTGGCTACCCCTGATCTAGACCCTAGGCTTCTATGGATGCAGCCTAGAATGGCATTGGCCTTTTTAGTTGCTGCATCATAATACTGTCAATGGCTTGGAGGGTGGCCAAAGGAGGTTGGACTGGGTGGCCTTTGGGGGTCCCTTCCAACTCTAGGATCCTA